CGTAGCAGACTTAATTGGCGCACGCTCGTATATTCCACTCTTCGGTAGTCCCCTCCCTCATATACGGCTTGGATTCTTTGACCCTGGAAGCCCGGCACCTCAAAACCATTGACGCCTGGTAATACCAGCATCTTAGGAGATGTATGGGTATCAAAGCTTGGTATATTCACACATTACCAATGCTCGAGTTTGGACGGAGGTCTGGCAGCCGAAAATCCATACTCAATCCTAAATTCTAAACTCCTATGTAAACCCTCATCCCTAGGCCTTGAAGATGTCTTTGAGTAGAAATGCAACTTGCGGATGGGCCCTGCGAACTGGAGTGTTCTCAGAATTTGCCTCGTAGAATAAGGGTCACCTGATTTGGGTTTTAGGGTTTAGGATTTTGGGTGATAGGGTGATAGGGTGATAGGATAGTAGGGTCCAGGGTTCAGGGTTCAGGGTTCAGGATGATATGGGATTTTCGTAAATGATCCGCAATGAGCCCGCAAAGGGCAGCTCCACTCCCCGAAGCCCTCATCACGCAAAGCTTATTGGTTGTTAGTGGGGAATGAAGCAAGGGAACAGAACTTCGAAGCTGTTTTTTCATTTTTCTAGGGGGGTGGAAGGGATGTTTCTTGCTGCATCTTTTTTTGTGGGGGGGTTATGTGGCGGTTACGATCGGGATCCATTCCCCTCATTCCCCGCACATAATGAGTACGTAAACCCTACATAAGCCTTGAAGGGTAGAGCTTACTACAGGCCTGAACAGTGGAGAGAAGGCGTGACAAAAAAGGAGTGGTAGACCTTAAACAGCCAAAATCCTAAACCGTATGCCTTCAAACTTCCCAGTCTCGCTATAGAAGAGGGTACCTTGCCAGGCAAGGAAAACCACATCGGTTAGCGCTTAGGGATAGAATATTCGAGAATCACATGGAAGAGACACTGCAAAGCATGGAAACTGGGATTATATGGGGCGTATAGGGGCTGGGATGTTGCTGCTGTGAAGACCTGTACAGAATCAATACGAAGATCTTTTGATGCGGGGATCTTGAAGGCATGCCTTTGCAGTTAAGGCTTGGGATTAATGATAAAAAGGTTTGGGATAGTCGGCAGGATCGTCAAGTCTTGAATTCATCACTGTACATTCTCCCCATCAAGAACCTTGTCCGCAAAGTTTCACCTGCTCCCACAAACCCTAGACCCTGACATGAAACCTTTACACACACAAATCGTACACCTTCAAGTTTGCATCCTGAATGCCAAGATGAAAAACCTCCCAAAGCCTACATAGGAACCCCATACATCGCAAGCCTTGATACTCTGCATGCACCGTAGTCCGATTACTCACATCGCTACCTGTCCAGTGTCGGGTCTTAACCTTGAACTCGTTCGTGGAATGACATCTCATAGCAGCCACTAACGACTAATGTAGTGTATAACGCTTGCGTTGTGAATGACAATTCCTCAGCACCAAGCTTATAGTCGAAAGCATGGGGATCTGCTTGCTTACGTTGATCCGTCGCCATTTCGGCTAAAGCTCGTGCACCCGCATCAAACACCAAATTTTGTCTCAGCTGTGCTGCCATTGTTGTCTGCCTTTGTACTGCCTTGTGCATCTTTGCTTCTGGCACTATCACTTCTGCAGACAGGCAGCAGGTGCACCAGCTTCTGGACAGGGGCCAATATTGGCTCTGGGAACAACTTGAGTCCGAGAACAAAACCGGACATCAAATCACCAGGCGAGTGGGTGATTTCCATACTGAGGTGTCTGGACTCGCCATCAACGACCTCTTCGTGGCCATCAAATCTCGCCTTAGGGGTGAGTTCTTGGCTGGTTTCCTCAAGGACGCAGAGGACATCATTGTGAAAGCAACACCTGCCCAAGCGGTGGAAGAACCTCGTTCCGCAGCTGGCACATCTTCATCCTCATCATCTACATCGTCCTCAAGCAGCAGTGATGGCGAACCAACACCTTGTGGAGCGCAACCGTGACATCGTGAAGTACCCCAACTGGGAGGATCTGCCAGCAGTCACCATGAGAGAGTGGGCGATCTTCTTTGGGCAGAACATCACGGCCAGCGAAATGGTGGTACCCCCACTTAGCATCACCGGCGAGTTCCCCGAACACGTCCCAGAGGGCATCCCCGCATCGTTCCAGGCGGAGGGCAGAGTCTGCCCTGACATCTGCAATAGGCAGCGCTGCCGGCGACGCCATTGTGAGTGCATTCATCCAGATTTTATAGATTTTTCCTGGGTACCCCTCAACTCACCATGTAGGAACTTCTTTAGAGGACATTGCCCCAGGGTACATTGTGAAAATGTACATGGTAACACCTTTGCTGAGGCAGTTTATTCCTCATACCTCCAACACACCAGTCAACGTCCTAGGATCATCTTGCATTATATCCAGGCGGCGAGAAGATTTGAAGTCGTCACACGCCAGGCAGGATCCAACATGTTGCTGGGGTCGATGTCAACGGGGGACATCATGGCTGCCAAAGCCTTTGTCTTTGGCATGAGTTGGACCCAGTGGGCAACGGCGGCCGAGTACCAACAGTACATCAACGCAGGCGGTCCACCAGTCGCGGACACCAGGGTGACAAGAGGCGGAGCTGGTCGCAACACCGGGAGAGGTCGGTCACCCAGTGCACGCAGAGGATATACATCTCGGCCGGCAACACCTACACGCACAGCTTCCCCTACACCGACTTTGTCCGGACCAAGGGCGACTACCACCACTTCGGCTTCATCTGGATCCACGGCTGCACCATCCTTTGGCAGAGGCGACACCGAACAGCCTGCGACTAAGCCACCGCCACAGTCCCTTGGGCAGGCGAAGTTCCCGCCTATACCAACGCGACAGCCATCACCACACAACAAGCAGCCACGCTCACCACCACCAAGAGCAGCGTCACCGTTGGCTAGGATCATCCAACAGGCTTGCTGCGGGGGCAGCAACATCGAGGTCAAGCCCATGCCTAAGAAGGCACCACCATCCATCCCTGCCGACGACGAGGAGCTCGAGACCTCCTCCGCCAAGCCACCGCCACAGACCACCAATGTGGTAGCACAGGCCATTGCAGCCGGGAGAAAGGCCCCACCAGCATTCTCAACACAGACACCGTTGCAACAGCCACCACCTCAGACTACCTACACCACAGCCCAGCAGGACAACGATCCGTGGAACGACAGGGACGACCATGTCAGCCCGGATCCGGTCATCGAAGTCCTCACGCCAGCGGTAGCGATCGCCAGGACACCATCGCCGGCCAGGCCACAGCCAGACACACCACAGTTGAGCAACCCGAGATTGGCCGCGCCGCACCTTCTACCACAACAGCCCACGTCGGCATACACACCGTGGCAGGATTCGTTCTCGCCACCGACACCATGCCCACCGGCTCCCCTGCCAACATTACAGCCCTTGCAGCCCTTACAGCCACTACATGCTCCACCTCACAACGTCACTGCGCAATACGGGGCAGAAGTCATCCCACGACCTATGCCAACAGTCACGCCCCCACAATTCATGGGCACCTACCATGACGGCAGGCAGACCATCCGCCTCTAGCCTTGTTCCCATACGAGGGATGGTCCCGACTTCTCTAGACGGAGGTGCCGCACCTCCGAACCCCATGCCGCCCTCAGCATGGGGATACAACGGCAACAACCTGCCATATCGGGTTACCACGGTACACCATCAAGTGCCGGCTTTACCTCCGATCCCTCCACGTGAAGTTCAGCAGTTTCCGCCCGCCCGGCAATTACCCCTACCTGGCTTTCGCAGACGACGCACCCTGGCTCATCAACACGTCAATGCTGCTGGCGATGGAGTCGGCCTTGGACTACCACCTGCTGGCCTCCCGCGCATCCATCTTCGGCCTCATCTTGAACGCACCAAACGGCTACAGACCCCAACAAGGTGCAGAACGTGTCCTTTGGATGCCACTGCCATCACCCGGCACCGACGTGCTCACCATGGTCATGCAGTCCTATGTGTGGTCGTTGATGACGGGAGCCATCGCAGCAGCGGGACACCAAAACGCCGAGCAATGCTACAAGGTGGTCCGTGACTTCATGACGTTCGCGGTCTACATTCGCAGGTTTCCTCAAGGACACCCAGCCGTGGACAGGTGGATCACCGTGCTCAGTGACGCCATCCTCGACTGCTCCTGCTACACTCTGCCTATCTCGTGGAGACAGAGGTTCTGCGATGATTGGCAGAACCATGTGTACGCCAGCGGACAACCTGCCCGTCTTTACTGGCGACGAGGATCGTGAGTCGGTCCCACCAACGTAGCGATGTGGCTTCCCGCCTAGGCGAAGGGCCACTGAGCACGTGTAGAGTAGTGATGGGGCATCCATTTTGGTGAGATAGGTAGGGGGCTTTCCGCCTAGGCGATGGGGTAGGGCTTCCTTCACCACACTGCCTCAAAAACATGCATAGTAGACATGGAGCATCAATTTTTAGTGAGTTAGGCAGCGGGCTTTCCGCCTAGGCGATGGGCCCACCTTCCCTCACCACGCGGCCTTACGGCCATTGATCGACCTCAGGTTCAACAATCCCTGGCCTGGACCACCGACATCAGATTCGGATCAGAGACACCAAGTAAACAGGTCAGCCAGGGAATGAGTTGCAGCATGCGCACATGTCTGTTTTCATGCATAGGAGTACATGCGCCGTCATGTGCGCCATGAGTAATTTGGCCTGCTGTGAACCACAATGACCAGCGTGGCCAGGCATGTTAGGTGCCGTAGCCTCACCTCAGTAACAGCTAGCGCCCTAACCCCGGCCCTACCTCAGTAGCATCATGTCGGCACCTTCCTCGAGCCAACAGCAGCGCAACTATGACTTCACCTATGGCAATGAGCATGCCAAGGCCATCGTGCGGACCCACAATGCACGGCTCACCGAGCGCGCCTTCGAGTACATCGCACAGCGGACGTCATTGGAGTGAGCAGCGCTTCGAGGTCTTCGGAACACCTTCCCGGGCATCAGTTCAGACGCCCTCGTGCAGAAGTGGATTGATCAGCTCATCGACCACCGACGAGCAAGACCCCACAGGCGACGTCATTGAGGCCAAGGCAGTGGACACCATGAAGCGCGCCGAGGTGTTTCTGGACCTCCTCAAGCACGCCGAGGACAACACCCCAGCAGAGAACTGCCTTGATTGCACGTTCTGCGGGGCATGGTTTCCACCATATTGGCTGCTGGATATTACCCCGGAAGGAACAGCAGACTGGCGCAATCATTACTACAGATGCTGCTTCCAGTGCATCAACGGGGACAACGACGACTACTACTGGTTCACCACACATCCGTCCCTGTCACCTGCGCTCCCCAATAGACCGGGCACCGCTGTGAGCCCCAAGCGCACTGATTATCGACACCAGGATCGCTCAGCAGTGGCCAACTTGGATGCAGACCACGACAACTACCCCAAGCGCTGGGTCATCGCCTTGGACAGCAGCAACCAGCACCAGCGTAAGTTGTACATCGAGGCCATGTGGTCGGACAACAAGTTCCGTTGGGTGCGCCATGTCGTCATACCCCGCACCAACAACCCTCAGCAGGCCACGACGTTGGATGTGGACGCCTTCTACAAGCTCTGCCAGAAGGTCATCACCATCAGACGCCGCGAAGCAGGGGAGCAACATCGCCTTCGGAACACCTATTGGACAGCGGCGTCCATCCATCAGGAACACCCGGGGCTCAACAAGGCAGAAGTTCGTGCGCAGGTGCGGGCACGCATCTTGGCCCTCGTGGACCGCTTCACCGCGGACATCCTGGGCTCAACAGAAGGCGACCGCGCTCGCATCATGGCAGCGTTCCGACAGTGGGACGAGGACACCGTTAAGTCGGCCCTGGACCCGGACTGGGACCGTCATGCCTTTTTCCAGCGCATCGAGGCAGACAACGACCTCACTGGGCCTCGAAGATCTCCGACACCATGCAGCAACACTACATATGCAGGAAGATCGGTTGCCAGGCCGTGGTGGACAACAAGCACTGGCTCCGGAAGATATCGCCGCATGCCCCCATCAAGGAGCAGCATGGACGGTACAACTGTCCACATTGCCTCAACGCCTACCGCCCCTGGATTCAGCAGTCCGACCTCGTCCCGGCGCAGACGGCGCTCATCGTGGCAGCGCCAGATACCATGGACCTGGCAACAT